TATGGATCTTTGGTTATTCGGGTTTTCTCCCGCGTAAGATTGGAAGTATCTTACGCGGGAGAAAACCCAAATATGCTGAGAAAAGACATGCAGATCCTATAAAAAATTCAAATTTCTAAAATTTAGTGATGGATGATTCTACTTCTTAGTGATTGATATGAAAGTCAAGTTGTGGAAATTCAGTTTAAAATCATAAGAGCTTTCTGATTCAACATCTCATTCGTATAATAGCTAATCAGATGTCTGTAAGAAGTCCTTAAACATAACATGAGTTCAATAATAATTTTTCAATCAGGCCTCTTAATCAGGCTTCCTAATAAGTGATAGTGAGAAGCTTTCAGTCTTTCCTACATGCAGTCTTTTTTTCCTATTAAAAGAACATATTTTTATAAGCTTTCCAGACAGACTCATTTTAATTGGTTACCCCTTTTCAAGCATACAATTTCCTTTATCAGGTATGGTGATCAAAACTATATTTTAATTTTGATGATAAAGCACATATATTTTGGAGTAAGATTTATATTTTAATATAGAAAATTCTTAAAATGAAGATAAAGATGAAACCAGAAACTTTTCTTTTGGGTCTAATGGAAAAAGACTTGGAGAAAAGAATTGGAATCTATCTTATAGATAGATTCTTATACATATTGACAGCAGCAAGACTACTGTATGCACAAAAATGGAAGGACATTTCAATTCCCACCATAGACAAATGGTTGCAAAATTGATGGAGTTAGCAGAGAGTGCTAAATCGACTGCTTTGATAAAGGAAAAAAAAAGTACTTTTGTTGCCACATGGAGACCACTTCTGAACTTTGTGCTTGAGGTAGAAAGAAATGAAACTTTGATTTTGGGCTTTAATTGATTAGATTGATTTGTTTTTATAGAAATGGCTAGTTTATATTATTCTGGAAAAGTAAAAAGTTGTGGTTTGATGTTAATGCTTTATTTTATTGCAAAAAGGGAGTTGGAAGTCCATTTTTCCTTCCCCCGCCCCCCTAATTTCTCTTTCCTTTTTTCCTCCCCACTGTGACTTCCTTTTTAAAATAATTTTATTAATGAACAACAAATAGAAAAAACATTAAAAACAATGAATGTGGTGCATACATAACAAAACATACAAATTTACATATGTACATAAATATTAATCATCTTTGCTAGAGTTACTCCTTTCTTTTTTAAACCAGTGATAAAACTTCTCCCAAATTCTGTAATAATCAGATTCAGTCTTATCTTTTAATTCTTGAGTTAATCTATCCATTTCAACGCACAACCAAATTTTTCTAATTATTTCCATCTCTTCTGGCATATCATTTCCTTTCCATCTCTGGGAAAGAGCTAGTCTCGCGGCAGTGGTGACATAGATTATTAAATATATTATCTCTTTATTATATTTCCCCTCATTGATTCCCAATAACAAAATTTCAGGTCTGAACTCTATTTTAATTTTACACATCTCTTCTAACCAGTTTCTGATTTTCAGCCAATATATTTGGGCTTTTTCACATTTCCACCATACATGGTAATACATTCCAATTTCTTTATTGCATTTCCAGCATTTAGGAGATAAGTTGGGATACCTTTTTGCTAGTTTTGATGGCAGGATGTGCGATCGATAAAACATTTTTAGTAAATTTTCTTTATATGATGCCGCCAGGGTAATTTTCCTATTCTTGTCTCATAAAATTTGCCAATCTTCCAGAATCTGTATCCAAAATCTTTCATCCAGGCCAGCATCGTTTCTTTCACCTTTTCTTCTTCCAATTTACATTCCAATAGTACTTTATAAGTTTTTTTAATCAATTTCTCATCCACTCCTAATAATATTTTATCTAATTCTGTTTTCCGTTTACTAATACTCCATTCTTTCATATTTTTATGATACCTTGATTGTAATTGTAAGTAGGCCCACCATCTATCTCAAATCCCAAATATTTCAGCTCCTGTCTTGTTTTTAAGTTTCCCTTCTCATCTAATATTGTTTGGGTATTTTCCCACATCATTATAGTTGTGCTTTTAAAGTTGTAGCGATGTTTCAGCAGAGTCTCATCTGCCATCATCAGGCTTGTGTATTGTGTGTGTGTGTGTGTGTATGTATGTGTATATATATATATATATATATATATATATATATATGTATGTATGTATGTATGTATGTATGTATATGTATATGTATATGTATATGTATATGTGTGTGTGTGTTTTCTTAACTTTCCGTGGGTATTTATATATAAATACTTATAAATAATTATATATAAATATATATATGAAACACTGAGGAAGAAAGACATCTTAAGATAGTAGATTTGTTCTTCCCTTATTTATTTGTTTATTTAATTACATTCATTTATCTCCTCAAATTATTAAAAAATAAATTCATAAATCATGAAAGTACAAAGTATATAAAAATACACAATATGTAAATATTTATTTATATAATTTATATGTATATAATGCATATATCATACTTCTGTATAAATTCATTTCTTTTTAATGTGACAATAGATATATTTATAAAAAGTACAATGGACTGCACTCACCGACTTTGTGGCTTCAAGCTGCAAACCACGGCTTATCAAGTTTGACTCATAGACTTGTCTCTTCCTCTGTTAAAATTGGTTAAAAATTGTGAAACTTTTTTATGATTCATATCTTTCAAAAGAAATGAAAACATTTTAACAAAAAAAAAAACTGTTTCGACTAATTTTATTTATCAATGAAACAAAATTTTGAATTTAGCCTTCAGTAATTAATGCAGAGGTACACAACCAAGAATTTCTGTTTTCAAAGAAATTAAATAAAATATGAATTTATTTAGTAAAACTAGTCAATAAAAATTGATTTAATTGTAAATTAGATTTTTCTTTTAAACTGGAATTTTTGCTATAGCTATTGAACACAGTTTTGAATTTGATCATGATCATGATTTTCACTATGAAAGTACTTTTTTTTTCTTTACTTGCAACTTTCTTTCATTAACTGTTATAGAGTTTGTAGCAAACCACCATTGGCAGTTGTGATAAAGACAATATTTATTTTAATTACCTTCCAAACCAGAATTCTAATAAACTTTCTTTAAATTTTAACTTGCAGAATGAACCATGTTTCTCATTTCAAAAATACAGTAGAATCGAGAAGATTAGCAGCAGCAGCAGTAAAAGGAGGAGGAGGAGGGGGAGAAAATAAAGAGAGAAGAATGGAATGAAAAAGAACTATATGAGTAAGCCTTATATATGAGCCAACTTTTTGTTTTTTCTTCCCAAGCTGATTGTGAGGATTACAATACATCTTAAAACTCTATCAATGTAACTCTTACTTTCCTATTGGTATTTCATTTGGTCACACCTTAGAGGTGATTCTGATAATCTTAAATGGGATTTAATATTGAGGGAAAATAAGCATAGCTCAGGGATTTAAATTGCAGTTTCTGACCCCAGAATAAAAACATTTGAAAAGGTGTTTAATTCAGATACTGCAAGGTCCTGCCTCTCCTTCCCATTCAAGAAAACATGGACTATCAAAACTTTAGTATTTCAAAAGGAAACTTCTATTGAAAGGAAGAGAATGCAGGACAATGCAAAGCAAAGTATGAGTTTCCCCCAGGCAATTCTGTTAGGAAAAAGTGGTTAGAAACCCCTCCCCTCAGTCTGATGTTGAATGAGCCAATCCACAGGTACGAAGCTGTTGTGGAAATGGTTGTCCTGAGAAAGAGATAAGGAGTCATTCCCATGCGCTTCTTCTGTGAGGCTTCCAAACTGAGAGAAAACAGATGGCCCTCCCCCCTTGTACATTCCCCAAGGTAAATCAAAGCACAGGGCAGAATTGGTGACAGGGTAAAAGTTATAAACTAGGGAAATTACAGGATACAAAGGAAACAGGATTAGAGCAATAAATGAGTAAAAGAATCCAGGGTTCCCTGGCCACATGAATGGCACTATCACGATAGGGATCTAACAGTCACCTTGCAAAGAGGTTTTGGAGAGCCATCCCTATTTCCATGCTATTAACAGTATTCCATATAGCTTAGGAACAAAATGTCAAAGGACAAATAAGGGCTAACATAGGAATGAACAACAATGCCACTTACAGTCATCTCAAAACACTCAAGTGCCTCTCCTGATGTTCCACCTGATTTGAGAAGCTGATAGCTCCAGCAGCTGCTGCTGCATTAAAATGTTGGCTGTGCGCCTGTCTAATCTTTATATGGCTTGGTGCAGTTATGAAGAAGTTATGAAAAGCAGAACTGTAAGTTTCAGAATCTACTTTAGTTAAACATCTTAACAGCTTTTCTGTTCTTCATTTTCCATATCGAATTAAAGACTGGGTAAAAGCAGCAATCTCTTCTCAAGTATACTATATCACAGTGTGGCAGCCATAGCTATTCTCCTCAACCTGCATCAACATTTAAAGCATAGGACAGCCATCACAAGTGCAAATGTCAGTCTATAGTAGAATTTAGTGGTGGGATTAAACTGAGGCTAATTCTTTGCTAGTTGTTTCACTTCCTTCAAATGTTCCTCTTGCCCTATCACTGAAAATACGTGTACTCAGTTGTCTTCATCCTCCTGCAATTATATTTTCCTGATTTGGATACAAAAATGTATTACGTGTTGTTTTAAAGATGTTGTTACAGTTCGCCAGCAGCAGGTGCAGATGGCTGAAGTCTCTGAGAGCGAGGACTCGGATGAGGGTATGAGGGTATGATGCAGGGATGGGGCCAGGACTATCGGAGAGTGGGGTGCTGCCTTCAGAGCTTGTGGAGTCTGGCAGCAGTGATGCAGAGGCCCTGAGGAGCCTGTGCCCAGTGTGCAGGGCTGCTCGGAGGAAAGAGCAGCTGCAGCAGCACAGGCGACTTGGGAGTAAGGCTGCAAGGTGATGGCCCCTCCCATAAGAGATAAAAGCCAGCCTTCAGGGGTTGGGTTCTTTGCAGGAAACAAAGAAGTTCTTTCAATTCCAAGTTCTTGTGGTTTGTTTTTGGAGACTTTTGGTTTTGGATATTTCCCTGCAATTAATCTTGTGTTCTTGGCAGCCTTTCACCACCTTGAAAGGGCTTGCTCTTATCTGGGACAATTAGTTTTAATGACTCTTTGCTGTGAATGAACAGAATTCACAGAGATGCATTAAAAAGGTTTGCTTTTATATATACTTTGTGTTTATTTGATTTGAATGAGGCTTGGGTCAGAACAGACGTATGAAACCAAATTGCTGATTTGTTGATTCAAAAATCTGGTTAATAAAGAGACAAGGTTTGTGTAGATAGTTCCTATGCTAAAATAATTAATGGTAATTCTGCAAAATAATATTATAGTGAAATTTTTTTACCATGTTTATTTTCATTGTGCTTTTTGTTTGTCCAGTAATATGTGTCCTAATTCACTGTGAATTTCCTTACTCGAAGGATTGCTTCATCCTTATTTATACTTGCAACCATATGACAGTGACTATGTTTCTATATGATTGTGCTTATTTTAAAATATGAAATTAGAAACAAAACAGATGCAACATTTTTACCTTAAGATGTTTTAATATGGCTTACTACTGTTCCATTTAAAACAGAAAAATTGTCTATCTAGAATCTAGATTGGTTCATCTTTTGTGGGCCTTTCAAAACATTGATAAGACTACTATTTCAGAAATACTTTGATGAATGATGGTCACTTATTTATGATCATTGTAAGACTGCTATTTCAGGTAATTGAAGTGATCTATTAACATGAAATATTGTATCATGGATGTTATATTGTTTATTGCTTCTATGAATGTTCATTATAACTTTACCATGGATGTTTTACTGCTATCTTTACTATGGACATTTTAGTTGTTAATACCTTAGGTGTTGTTAATCATTAGAATTTTTAAATAATTATTTTGATTATGGTAATTTTGGATCTAATGTAAACTGCCATTTTAATCATAGATTAAGCCAATAAATCAATGAATATACCTACAAATATAACATTTTAGCCACAAACAAGCCAAATTAATAAAAATGAAAAGGCTGCATGTATAAAATTACTTAAATTTCACAATGTGATAATGCAATATTTACATTGTTCCCATTTCTGAACAACTAAAAAAAACTGAGGAACAGTATGATAGCTGCATATAGTTATCAAACAGTGGAACTTTCCAAAAATTGAATAACTGTCTTTCCAATCATAAAAAAAATCCATTGATTAAAGTCTAATCAGATTCCAAGGTACATAAAACATGCAATATTTAGATGCCATAAAACTACTAGATCAGCTCCTTTCCTAATTATCCTTGTGCTTTTAACGGCATAATGGCAGAAAAAATTGATTAGGATTTTTTTCCCCATAGTAGACCTGGTCTGAAACTTAATATAATAAATCCTAAATAAAAACCAAATGTTAGTTTTTATCATTAATCCATTTTGACTTCAAGATTCTTGAAAAAGTGCTGTGGTGGCACAATGGTTAGAATGCAGTACTGCAAACTAACTTGCTGCTCACTCCAGGAGTTCAATTCTGAACAGCTCAAGATTGATTCAGCCTTCCATTCTCCCAAGGTTGGTAAAATGAGGATCCAGATTATTGGGGGACTCTGTAAACTGCCTAGAGAGGGCTGTAAAGCACTGTGAAGCGGTATATAAGTATAAGTGCTATTGCAATTCTAATGCAAAATAGGGTGCTGATCAGAATATACATGCTGATACAGCTGACTCTTACAAGACAGTGATATTTGAGCCTTTTTATTTACCTATTTTAATAATGACTGACTTGCATAGAATCATATAGAATTTTAATTATTCTGAATTTGAATGGAAAAACATGCGGTTGAATGGTTCTTTTCATGTAAAGAATTCCTGGGCATGGAAAGGGAGAAATGTGGTTTCTTTAAGGGCAAACTTTAACTTGTTGTTTGAGAAATCTTTATGTATTACTGTAATACGTATGTGCATTTTGCTTCACTGACTTGTTATTATTTTTGTTCTTTATTGTCCATTCTTGTTTTAAATATACATACATATTGTTTGTAAAAAAACAATTTTGTTCTCCTTTTTAAATATTATTGACATTTAAATATGCATTCTGACATGGTTCAGTTCCAAGAATGTTATGGAACATTGAATTGTGATAGAGCAAATCCTCCTCCTGTCTGAAATTATATAAGTTATTAAATCTTACTCATCTTGGTGGAATTGAGACAGACAAAGAGGAACCTTTTAGAAATGATCAGAATCTTAAAAGGAATCTATCTAAATTAATGAATTAAGGGAAGGTATTGTAAATATTAAAGCTTTATCAATAGCAGTATCAAATCGAAAGCAATTCATACCTTTTGCTTTTTATGAAAAGTTTTTTGACTTTCCCTTGTGCTTTCATCTTCATATACTAAGACAAAGTCAATTTTCCTTTGGCCATCATTAAAGTACAGAGAGTCAGGATTCAGGTCAAACTCTACCTGGAATAAACATTAACATAATACCTATATAAATATTAATATACCTAATGGAATTTGAGAATAAAAATATATGTGGTTGATTAGCTGAGGAGAGCAAAAATAGGTTAGCAGAGTCCCAGAGAGCGATATCTGAAAAACATGTCACACTCCCAAATATTGTAATCCATATTGAGCATGTTAATATTTCAGCCAAATAAATGTTGAATCAGTCTTCACAGGGGAATAAATAGAAGAAAATAAAATACCTGAAGTTTTCCATCTAGTATTTGGTTAGTTTATTCAAATACGTATATAATATGGATTTGCAAATAAGCATGAAAAAATATGTTCTCAATAACTTTTTATTGTGAGTATTGTGAACTGAGGAAAAATCATCTATGTTCTGAGACTTCTAGTCAAACATTACATCTAAATTCTAGTTTCTTACTAGATTCAGACAAAACATAATTTGTGTGGCTGTCAGCCTTCAAGATTTCCTTCCTTTGCTTTGCATCTTTTGGCTGTCATAAGTAAAGGAGGGGAGGAGGAGGGACATAGTTATGGGAAGCGAGCTGGAGGTTTTACAAAAAAGAACTGTATAAGTTGGAGGGGGAAGGTTCTTGCTTATGTTTCTTTCCTATGCTATGCGCAAGTACTGTTCTTTATCAAAATATATCAAGGTCAATGGACAGAGGCCTCATCACCACCTGGAGATGCCCACATGTTATATACAACTTTTTATTGGATGGACAGTTTGAATTATTGTGGGTGGGAACGTTGCCATCACCTTGTATATGTGATTTATGCACTCATTTTCTCAGATTCAGAATTCTTTTGATGCTACCACTTGATTTCCAGTAAAAGATACCTTTTCTTTAATTAATGGAGTCTAAGTATTTCTTCCTTGGATTTTGAATGGAGCACCAGCTGACATTATTCTGAATCTCAGTTTACCAGCCTACCCGGAGAATTAATACATTTCTTCTGAGGGCGTCTGAACACAATGTCTAATCCAGCCAGCGACCAAGAAGACCTGGGAGTGACTGGAGGACCAGCTTCCCTGCTGTTAGAGGCGGCAGGGGAAGCTGAGTTGTTAGCAGAACTACATCTTGATGAAAAACCAGCTGTAAAGCCCAAATGGTCTCTGGGAGTCGGCTGGAAGAATCTGGAGGAAGAGCCCACTCCAGGAGTGACCATGACCCAATGGCGTAGAAGAGAAGAGCCATGGCAAGAGGATAAAAGAAATTATTGTTTATTAGCTCAAGCCCTGCATCTTCCAAATGAAGCTGTCGGAGGAACTCAGATTGATCAAAGGTATGAGATGGAAGAGGGGGAGGCAGCCTCAGCTAGGAGAGCCCAAGCAGCTAACCCCATAAATCAACTTGGGCTGGTGCAACAGGTGGCAGCAGCCCAGGGGGCCCCGGCAGGGGGAGCGATTGCCAGAAGGCATAGAACTCCAAAGGTGCCTCTGTTGGGAGTAAAATATGGAGGGGTTCCCAAGGAGTTAGGTTTCTTCCTGGCACAAGTCTAGAGCCACATGAAAGAATACGGGGAGAATTTTTCCTCGGAAGCAGCCAAAGTCAGATGTGTTACCAGGGCTCTGGAAGAGACAACTGCAAAATGGACGGTGACTTTGCATAATGATAATGCCCCCCCCCCAGCTGATGAATTATGATCTGTTCATGACAGCGTTGCATGCCAGATTTGAAGACCCACTAGCTGAACGTAAGACTAGAATTAGGATGAAAACCATAAATCAACGGCGGAGATCAGTGGCCGATCACACCCAGGAATTTAGAGAGCTGGCATGCCATATTCGAGGCTGGTCCCAGGGAGCCCTGATAGAAGCTTTTAAAGATGGGCTGAATGAAGATGTTTATCAGAGCTGCATCGCCAGAAGAGACCTCAGTGAGCTGCAGCTGTGGTACGTGCTGGCAGCAGAAGTGGAAATTGATCTGACCCAAAACAGACGCAGGGGTGGCCTTGGTTGGAGCAAGTCATCCACCACCAGCCCTCAAGAAGCTGCAAAACCTCAAAAGGGAGGACCGGCGGCAAAGCCCAAGACTACTGCATGCTTCCGATGTGGGAAGGAAGGTCACCAGGCTGCAGACTGTCATACCAAGCTGGAGAAAAAGGGGGCGCCAGAAGGAGGAAGAAAACCTGAAAAAACTCCAGTCAAGCCTCGCGAAATGGCTCTTAAAGCTAAAGAGGTTGTAGAGATTGCCCCTCTGAAAGGAGAGGATCTGGGAACTCCAACCTCTTCTGAAGAGAGTGAATTTGAATCAGAAGATGACTCACTGGTAAATCCAAACAAGAGCCCTATGACCATCCCAGTGAGATTAAGGGAACCCATGTCGGGAGCCCAAGGGGAAATGTTGGCCTTGTTAGACTTGGGGTGCACAAGGTGTGTAATCAGCTCAGAAGTTGTAGAGAAAATGGGTTTAAGGCTAAAGACTTTAAAAACGCCCATAGCATTTTGCCAACTGGATGGATCGGTAGCTGGGGGTGGCCCTGCACATTTCATAATGGAACCAGTAGAAATGATGATGGGGAAGCATAGAGAGACTTTGTGTTTTATTGTTGCCCCTGGGATGGAGCGCCCCCTACTACTGGGTTTGTTCTGGCTCCGGAAATGGAACCCCCAAGTTGACTGGAGGAGGGGATCACTGCGCATACGTACTGACCAGCCCCCAGAAGGGGAGGGGCAATTTCAACAGAAACCCCAGAATCAATCTATCTATCTATCTATCTATCTATCTATCTATCTATCTATCTATCTATCTATCATCTATCTATTTATTTTGTTAAGCAATTATAAGATAACAGGTATAAGTATAAACATAGTTATGGATACATGAAATGGATACATATAAGAAAAAAAAAGAAATAAAAAAAAAGAAACAATAGGGACGGTAGGCACATTGGTGCGCTTATGCACGCCCTCTACAGACCTCTTAGGAAAGGGGTGAGGTCAATAGTAGACAGTCTAAGGTTAAAGTTTGGGGGGTTTGGGGAAGAAACTACAGAGTCAGGTAGAGTATTCCAGACATTTACCACTCTGTTACTGAAGTTGTATTTCCTGCAATCAAGTTTGGTGGGGTTTACCTTGAATTTGTATCTATTGTGTGCTTATTGTATTGTTAGGGTTGAAGATGAAGTATTCATTGACAGTTGGACATTGCAATGTATAATTTTATATACAATACTTAGATCGGACCGAAGGCGGCGTAGTTCTAGGTTTTCTAGGTCTAGAATTTCAAGTCTGGTGGCATAAGGTATTCTGCAACAAGTAGAGGAGTGGAGAGCTCTTCTTGTGAAATATTAGTATGCCAAGGTCCTTGACAAAGTTTGGATCCTCAACAAGATCTTGACTATTTAGCTTGTATTTTATTTTCTGATTTTTTCTGCCAATATGTAAGACAGAGCATTTATTAGTTGAGATTTGAAGTGGCCATTTGATTGACCATTCTGATACATAGTTGAGGTCTCTATGGAGGGTAGTAGTATTGCCTGTGGTGTTGAATAGCTTTACATCATCAGCAAAGAGAACGCAGTTGCTCTTAATATGATCACAGAGGTCATTTATGTAGAGTATGAAGAGAGTTCTGCCTTGGGGGACACCACTGTTGACATGTACAGAATTTGATAGAACGCTCCCAATTTTGACCATTTGTTGTCTGTTTGACAGGAATGCTTCTATCCAGTTATGCAGGTGTCCAGAGATACCGTAAGATTTTAGTTTTAGGAGTAGTTTGTTGTGTACCACTGAATCAAAGGCTTTACAGAAGTCTATGTAGATTGCGTCTATTGCTTTGCCCTGATCGAGTTGTGTAGTCCATATGTTTTTGCAGTGTAAGAGCTGCAGATCACAGGATAGTTTTTTTCTGAAACCAAATTGTTTATTAGAGAGTAGGTTGTTTGTCTCTAAATGGAGGATAATGGATTGGTTAATAATTGATTCCATGACTTTACAGATGACACAGCATAAAGAGATTGGTCCGTAATTTTCAACGAGGCTGGGGTCTCCCTTTTTGAAGATGGGAATGACTGTGGCTAGTGACCATAGGTTTGGCAAGGAGGTGGTCCTGAAAGATTTTTCGAAGATTATGCTTAGAGGTTCAGCTATGGAAGTGGATAGCCTTTTTAAGGCACATATTCCTTCTGGTCCAATAGATAAAGATGGTTTTAGATTGCGTAGTGTTTTTTCAACGTTGTCTTCTGTAAAATCAATATGTATTCGATCATTGTAGTCATCTGTGGTTCGACTAGGAAATACTGGGCATGATCCATTGCTGTTAACAGATACTGAGCCAAAGACCGTGTTAAAGAGGTTGGCTTTAATGGTGTTGTTGTTGCAGTCTTTACCATTTGGTCCTTTCAGGGGTGGGGTGGACCTTGATTCTTTTAGTTTGTTGTTTACAAAATTGTAGAAAGCACGGGTGGAATTGGTGCATAGAAGATTTTCCTCTTGTTTAATGTGATAATTGATGCATTCAGTCTTTATCTGGTGGCATAAATTTTTGTATTGGTTTTTGAAGTTGGCAACGTGACCAGATTTGTTTTTCCGCCAAAGTGATCTCTTTTAGGAGTGAAGTTTCCTTATTGTTATGAGTAATCTGTTTTTTTTTGCTTTGGGAGTTGTTATTGGTACATATAGTTTGATGACTCTTTTGACTTCAAGTAAAAATATGTTGTAATGGTCTTCAACAGTATTGATCCAGTGAATAGAAATTGCCAATCAAGGGATGAGAGATCATTGTTTATAAGATCATAGTTGCCTTTTTTGAAGTTATAATTGGGGATTCCATCGTTGTGATGATTTTTGTGTGGACATATGTTGAGACAAAAGTCAATCATGTTGTGGTCACTGTTGGAAAAGGGTTCTTTAATTTGTATTCCATAAATTGAATTCAAACTATTGCAGAAGATGAGATCGAGGCAGTTGTTAAGTCTAGTGTTGTTAGTTACTAGTTGTTCTAGTCCCAGATTTGTTACAGCATTGTATAAGTTTGCATGTGTGGGTTCAGTTGTACATTCATTAAGGGTCCAGTTAATATGAGGTAGATTGAAGTCACCAAGAAAGATAAAAGTGTGTGGGCAGGATGCTGCCCATGTTAGTAGTGTAGCTTGTTTGCATGTTCGATGTCATAATCAGGGCTCTGTAACAGTAAGAACAGAAATGTGATATTTAAGGACAGTTCACAGACGATGGTCTCAGGAATAGTTCCTGGGTAACTTGGATGTTTTTTAGATGTAAGGACTTTTTATAGAAGATAGCAACACCTCCTCCTCTACAGATTTCACAATCTGATAGGTAAACATGATAGTCTCTTACTGTGGTAATGGAGTCAGGGAGAGATGCATTGAGCCATGTTTCACAGACAAATATGATGTCAAATTTAGCCATATTTAGTAAGAGGAGAAATTCAGGTATTTTATTCACAAGGCTTCTTGCATGAGTAGCTTGCATTTAAGTCCAGCTGTAGTTGAAATTGAGATAGTTGGGGGCATGCGTGCCTAGTCTTGGGTGATGGTGGATTGGGTGATGGTGGATTGGGTGATGGTGGATTGGCTTCCACTGGCACTGAGAAACTGAGGGGGGAGAAAAAAACTCCTGAAGAATATTGGGATTTAAAGGAGGTATTCAGTGAGAAGGCCTCAGACGAGCTTCCCCCCCATCGTTCAACAGATTGTAGTATTGAAATTTTGCCAGGAGTGAAACTCCCAAAACTGAAACTGTACTTGATGACACTGCAGGAGCTAGAAGAGCAAAAATAACAATGTACAAATTCAAATCCAAAATATAAAATTATCACTATTTCATATTGTTCCAATAGTACATTATTTAGAACTTTTAATGCTGAAGGCCACATTTAAAAAAGCCCTTTAAACAGTTTTCATTCTACAACCCAAATCTAAAATATCCTATGAGAAATTCAAATTTGTTTGCATATCTTTATGTGAACTATATGATAAATTTTATAAGAATAATAAGTTAGTACCTACCAATTCAGGCATATGAAGAGCTTGCTGGCCAGCTTCTGTTTCATAATTGGGAATAACAATTTGTTCCAAGTCTTCAAAGACTAAAAGAAATGTAGGCTCTATTTGGGAATAAGTCAAATTTCATGGGTTACCCATTGATATCTATCATTCAGACTATCACTTAGGCAATTACACAATTGAATCTTAATTTTCCCAGCCCTGGATGCAGCTTTAATATATGGAGGAAAATGAAATGGATCAACAAGGCTGATTCAAACAGACTTCAAGTTGTCAGGATACAATTTCATATTGCATAAAACCATGTATCTCACTAAATATGTATAGAGGAGAAATAAAGTAGGAATAATGATGAATATATAATATTTATTATTATTATTTATAATAATATACTATATAATGCTCAAGTCAAAAAGAGGCTGTGAAAATATTTGCAGACTCCTCACATCCCGGACATAAACTGTTTCAATGCCTACCCTCAAAACCAGTGATGGGATTCAAATATTTTTACTACCGGTTCTGTGGCGTGGCTTAATTTGTGGGTGTGGCTTGGTGGTTATGTTACTGGGTGGTGTGGCTTGGTTATGTGACCAGATAGGTGTGGCTTTGTGGCCATGTGACTGGGTGGGCATGGCCACATGGCCATGTGACTGGCAAACCAAATACAAGTGGTCCTCACTTAATGGCCGGTTGCTTAGCAAGTGTTCTAATTTATGACTGATCTCCCCAGAGCTACTTGACCTGTTTTTGGAGTTTTGACAGTCACACACACACACACACACACACACACACACTTCTAACCCTGCTATTCTATGATTCTGTAAGGATCTCCTGCTGGAAGAGGGGGTTTGACTAGATGACCTCTGAGATCCCTTGCAGGCCAGCCCTAGATTGCTATGCTGCTTCAAAGAGTCTTCTGAAGCCAGGGTTTGTGCCCTTCCTTCTTCTCCTTTTTTTCTCTCTCTCCCTCCCTTCTTCCATGTATTTATCTATCTATTCATATATCTCATTCACTTTCTCCTCTCTCCCTCTCTTTCTTTCTCTTTCTTTCTCTTTCTCTCTCTCTTTCTTTCTCTCCTTTCCTCTTTCTTTCTTTCTTTCTCTCTCTCTTTTTTCCCTTCCTCTTTTTTCTCGCTTTTTCCCTCTCTCTCTCTTTCTCTCCCTCTTTTTCTCTCTCCCCTCTCTCTTTCTCTCTCCCTCCCTCCCTCCCTCTCTTTCTCTCTCTCTTTCTGTCCCTTCCTTTCCTCCTTCCCTCTCTCCTTCCAAAGCTAGGAACCCACCTGAAACACACACACACACACACACACACACACACACACACACACCCTTCTAACCCTGCTATTCTATGATTCTGTAAGGATCTCCTTCTGGAGCAGGGGGTTGGAGTAGAAGATGACCTCCGAGATCCCTTCCAGTCCTAGATTGCTGTGCTGTTTCAGAATCTTCTGAAGGGTTTAGAAGAACCTGAAGATTTTGAACTCCTCAAAATGAGTAGGAAATTAACAGCTCCTGGTTCTTCAACTTCCACTTCTTCCTCTCCACCATCTGGAGGACAACGTTCAATACAGACAATATTAAGGCAAGAAAAAGAACAAGAAAAAGTGACTGCAGATGATTATGCAAGGAATTCAAAATATTCAAACAAGATCAGAGAATATTGAAAAGAGAATAGGGAACATTGAACAAAGAACAGAGAACATTGAACAAAGAACAGGGAAAACCGATGAAAAAGTGGAGAACATCCAACAAATGATGATGAAGTATGATGAGAGACTCCAAAAAATTGAAGAAGATAAACAAAGAGACAAGAAGATTGGAGACATTGATAACAGATTAACTGTGGTTGAACAAGATAAAAGTGGTATGCTGAGATGGGAGATGGACAGATCAGAATTTTATCTTACATTCCAAAACATAGAGGAAGAAAAAGGACAAAATCTAGCTGAGATAATGATAGAAATATTAGCTGAAGCTTTGGAAATAACTGAAGAGAAGATGATGGATGGAATAGATGAGGTTTATCGAATCTTCACAAGATATGCGATGAGAAATAGCTTACCAAGAGAAGTTCACATCAGATTTACAAAGAAAGCCATTAAAACGCAAATATTGTGAGTGGCAAGAGAGAAAACATTGAAATACAAAGATAAGGAGATTGTGGTCTTGAAACAAGTACCCAGAAGAGTGAGAGAGATGAGAAGGGAATACTGATTCTTTACCAAATTATTATTTAAAAAAGAGGTGAATTATAGATGGCTGATTCCAGAAGGTTTAATGTTTACATGGCAAGAACAGAGATATAGAATTGACTCAATTGAGAAAGCTGAATCATTTTACACAGAATTTTTCAGTGGGGAGGAAGAGGCAGAAAAAGAAATTTCACTAATTGAATTCCAAGAGGACTCCCAAATGATGACTGAAAAAAAGGAAGGTGCAGTAGGTGGAAAGGAGGAAGCCAAAGAACAACGTGAACTAAGATCCATGAGAGCTGTCAAACCTAATTATAAAATATAACCATGGAAGAGAAAAAAATTGATTACAATTAAAATAAATGGACTTAACTCAGCCATTAAAAGAAGGAAAATCTTTCATAAATTAGAGAAATTAAAATTTGATATAATCTGCCCACAAGAAGTACATATTAAAAAACAATATGAACAACTGTTGATACAGCCAAAATTAGGGAAAATATTCACTCCCTTGACACACTGTAAGAAAAGAGGAGTGGTTTTATATATTAAAGAGACCATCTCAGCAAAATTGATTTATACTGATGACGACGGAAGAATATTAATGGTGGAAATAATGGACAATAATACGAAAACACTCCTGATTGCAATTTATGCCCCGAATGACAAACAAGAAGGATTCTATAAAAAATTACATATGAAAATAGTTGAACTGGACTATGTTAATATAGTTATGATGGGAGATTTTAATGGAATTGTAGACAATAAACTGGACTACACAGCACAGAAAACAATAAAGCAAAATAGAAAGACTCTCCCTAAATATTTTTTTAAAATGGTAGATGAAATAAACTTAAAAGATACATGGAGAGAAAGAAATGCTAAAACTAAACAATAAACCTTCTACTCAAATAGACACTTATCATGGTCCAGAATAGATATGATATGGATGTCAACAGAATTGTTTTTTTTATATAGTTTATTAATTTTTACAATTAAAACCAGTCACAATACATACACAAATAAGCAAAAGAAAGAAAAAGAAAGAAGAGAGAAGAGGAAGAGAGGGAAAGAATTTTGAGAAAAGAAAGAAAAAGAAAGGGGGAAGAAAGAAAGAGGTTACAAGATAAAAAGTATTCTTATTTTAACAGTTTGCAAGATCTTCTTTTGTTTTCATAACCTTAACTTGTGTCATATAACCACACCTGTTTTTAACTTATATCGCTACCTCGTTATTATGGGTTGATACTTTTCTTTTATGCCTTATGATATATAATTTATCTTTGGTCAATCCAATTATACCAACAATTCCAGCTATCGTAGTATAGTGAAGTATCTTTGTTTTTTAGCGCCAAAGTCAATTTATCCATTTCTGCGCATTTTGAGATTTTTTAAATAATCATTTCTTCTGATGGAATTTGATGTTGTTTCCAGTGTTGAGCGAAGGCTAATCTGGTCGCTGTTAAAATGTGTATTGTTATGTATTTGGCTTTTTTGGAAATTTGCTTATCAAAAATCCCTAGTAGGAAGGACTCTGGTTTGTATTCGATCTGCTCTTTGGTGATTTCTTCCAACCAAGTTTTGATTTTCTTCCAATACTTTTGGGTTTCTGCACAAGACCACCACATATGGAAAAAGGTTCCTTCTTTTTTCCTACACTTCCAGCAATGCGGACTCATGTTGGGGTGCATCTTCGCTAATCTCGAAGGGGGGAGATGCCATCTATAAAACATTTTATAAAGATTTTCCTTGTATGCTGCCGATTTGGTAATCTTATTGTTTCTGCCCCAAACTTTCTCCCATTCCGCTAATGTGATGCTGCGCCCTACGTTCTTACGCCAAGCAATCATATTTCCTTTTACAATTTCTTCTTCTAGTTCTGTTTCTAATAAGTAGTTATAAAATTTTGTTATGTTTTTTTTATTTGATCCTAATAAAATTTTATCTAACTGTTACAGTTTGTTATTAATTCCGAATTCTTTTTTGTCTTGTTTATATCTGCTTTGAATCTGAAGGTAAACCCATTGATCAATTTTATGTCCTTGCTCCTGAAGATCCAGCCTCGGTTTCAAATTTCCTTGTGGGTCTAATAAGTCTTTGTATTTAATCATTTTGGTAAGCTCCAAATTGTTTGGGTGAATCATTGCCTCCATTGTTGATTTTAAGTCCAGCTACTGCTCCAAATTTCTCTAATTCACTCATCAATTTTGGTCCCCTGTCTTTTGGTTCTTCAATGACGAAAATCATGTCGTACGCAAATGCTTGCAATTTATATTCCTCTTTCTTAACTGTTAATCCCTTTATATCTGAATTCCGCCTAATTCGTGTTAATAATGTCTCTAATGCTAATATGAAGAGCAGGGGAGAGAGTGGGCAACCCTGTCTCACTCCTTTTTCTATCTTTATTGGGCGGGTGCATTCCCCATTCACTATTATATTAGCTTGTTGTGTATCATATATAGTTGTTATAATATTTTCAAATTTGGTGCCCAAATTAAAATTATAAATTTTTTGAATTAAAAATTGCCAATTTAGATTGTCGAAAGCTTTCTCTGCGTCTAGGAACATAACTGCTACTTGTTTCTCGGGGTGAGCTTCGTAAAATTCTAGTATGTCTAATACTATTCTTAAATTGTTCTTTATTTGCCTAGTTGGGAGAAATCCGTTTTGGTCTACATGTATATACAAATTTAAGATCCTTTTTAATCTGTTTGCTATAATAAGTGTGAATATTTTGTAATCAGTATTTAAAAGTGAAATCGGCCTGTAATTATTTATATATCTGGGATCTGTATCCTCCTTCGGGATCAGCGAGATCAACGGCCCCCTCCATGAGTCCGGCATCCTGGCTGCCAGTAAAACGTCATTAAAGACTTCCACCATAAGTGGTCCGATTTGATCTGCTATTGCCT